ACCAACTAGTTAGGTAAGAACTAAAGTTGTCGTTACTTTAAGTTCGTTCTATATCGTAGTATGTTGTCTTGTCTTATTTATCTTTTTTTTTTTTTTTTTAGGTTCTCTTGGAGCTGTGAACCTTGCATGGATGAACATCGCTCTAAGAACAGAAAAGGACGAATATTAATCAATGAAGTGGCAGCTAATGTGAAGCAGCGTTACAAAAAACAGAGCAGTAGTAAGATTAAAGCACAGAAAGCAATGCATGGGTAAGTACATTCTATGCTTGTAATTTTTTTAGAGTTACACATATTTGAGATGCGGGAATAGATTGACAGTAGCTTGTGCTTGGCAAGGTTTTTTATATTTTTCTGCTATTTAGCTAGAATCATACTAGAAGTTTGATTTGAGACACAGAAAAAGTTGCTACTTCAAAGTTATATGTACCATTACAGCAGCAGAAAGACTCCTACCAAGTGTAAGATTTTATTACAAATTGTCAACAAAGTAATGGATATCATTGGCTTTAGTTAAGGTGCTATTCTTTGCAAGTTGTACACTTTTTTTTTTATCCTTGATGTTCTGAAAAAAAAAGTGGTTGGAAGTGTCAGATACCAGTTGTTATATTACTTATTAGTATTTTTGACATGATTAAGTTTAAAGATTTTTTTAAAATTTATTATTTCTCTTCATCTTCCCCTTCTTTTTTCTTAGCTTTTGTTTTCTTAAGAATAATAAGAAAAACTTTTTTTAGGCTTTTGTGAGATAAGTTTATAGTAATTCATTTTAATATACATTTGGAACATATTACACCCATTTTCACTTACCCTTTCATACATTTTATTGTATAAGAGCAAAAAGTAGCTAAAATTTTTAGAGACAATTCAGAAATGCATGTTGCTGTTATTTCTGGTATTACAGAAGTTAAATATTTATATGTTTGCTTAAACCTTTCGAGACGAGTAACGGGTGAACGTTTGTTGTCTTGCATTTAAAATTTGGTTGAACTACTATTTCATGAATCTATGTCAGTAGGTTTGGTATCAAACTTTAGATTATAATTCAAATTTTAGTACTATATATTACTCAATTTCTTAATTTAAAAGCAAAGATTAAAAAACGCAGATAAACATTGATTTTTGTGTGTCATGTGGTATGTTGAATGCAGCACTGGTTCAAATTAGATGTTTGTGAAGTTAAAATACTATGTCTGTAGTTTTTAATGAATTAGAAACTCAAATTACCAATACTGACAAGCTAGAGTATAAAATAAGAGCCTCTTA